AATAATATAATATAATAAGTAATGAATAAAATATAATTGAATAAAATACAATGTACTACATATACATTTATGTGTGCATATTTATCTGACTATCCATATACAGGTACAATGATTTCTGTAATATAAACCTTACTTTTCTAATTCTTCAGGATCAAACTTCCACCAAGTATCTGGCTCATGGAACTCCACTCTGTATCCCTTCTCTAGAGCCTGCAGCAAGCAAAGAAAAATGTGTGATATGTGTATCATTAAACTTTTTGTTACATTTTATGTAACACAGAGCAGTATAACAAAACAGCTGTAGTTAACTCTGCAGTGGTAGCATCCTGAATTTCACTTACACCCACAACCTGCCTTAGCTTTCATTCCAGCCTAAGCAGATTAGATCAAGTCAATCCTTAAATTGGTCTGAACTACTGCCGTACCAATTACTGATTGTATCAATAAGCAGTCTCTCTTTAGAAACTTGAGTAAGGAAAACATTTCTGGACAAAACAGACCAACTAATCACATGTGAAGGTAAGTTTGCAAAGTTGCAACAGATGATATAATCATACAACAAAACCTACCACTTCTACATATGGCTTCATTTCCCAGGCTTGAGTATTAGTGTTGTCTATTATAACTGGAGATTTTCCCTGATCCATTGCTTGCTTTGCTGCAATGAAAAATAGTGCAAGTTAATAAACAACTATGTAACTCAAAGCTGTAAATGTAAATAAACTGTTACAGATGTTTTTTTGCGCTAATCTTGTCTGACTGAAACACACTGTTCTAAGAAAAGGAATAAAAGCACTGAAAGCTATAGACAGGAATGGAAAGAAGTAGAAGCAAGAAGGTATGAAAAATTAAATGAAAAATCAGGGAGTGTCGAACAGATGCAAAGGGAAGTGTAGAAGTCAAAGCAAAACAACAGAACAGCTCAAAGTCTGTGGCCTGCTGAGTATAGAGATCCCAGCATGAAATCGTATCCTGGTTCCAGCTTTACCAGCCCTGCCGGATAACACATGGTGTGTTCATAACTGAGAACTGTGCTTAGGCATTGCAGTTCTTCTCCAACAAAACGCTAAGAAATAGGTGATCTTCACAGAAGACATCATATAGCCGAAATATTTCTGAGATCCATTAAAAAATAAATTACAATAATGCTGTCTCTGCTTGAATAATGTTTCAGCAGAGACTGTTCAGCCTGGAGAAGAGAAGGCTCCGGGTTGATCTTATAGCAGCTTTCTGGTACCTAAAGGGGGCCTACAGGAAAGCTGGAGAGGGACTTTTTACAAGGGCGTGTAGTGATAGGACAAGGGGAAACGGATATAAACTGAAAGAGGGGAGATTTAGACTAGATATAAGGAAGAAATTTTTTACATTGAGGGTGGTGAGGCAGTGGAACAGGTTGCCCAGAGAAGTTGTAGATGCCCCATTCCTGTCAGTGTTCAAGGCGAGGTTGGATGAGGCTTTGGGCAACCTGGTGTAGTGGAGGATGCCTCTGCCCATGGCAGGGGGGTTGGAACTAGATGATCTTTAAGGTTCCTTCCAACCCTAACCATTCTATGATTCTATGTTCGAACTCACTGGCCAATTTCTACCAAATCCAAAAGAGGGCAGAAGCTTCAGGAATAATAAGCTGCTTTCAAGTTCTACAAAATAGCAACTGGTAATGAGGCACATCCAAATTAGCATCTTTATTCACGGAAACACAGACAGCGCACAGTCATGATGCAATTTGTGTGTCAGTACACTTAACACAGTAGCATGCTTTTAACTTTGGACCAGTAAGAGTATGCACCCAGCAGATGCATCCTAGAGATTACAGTGCAGAACTAAGATTGGTTGGAGGAGTTTAGGGGACAAAACATGGAAATCTGTTGACTACCTGAGATTCTTCAGCTCCATAGCACAGAATACATTTTAACACTACTCTGATGCATAAAATGGTATCTCTTTGTAAGCCCAAGACTGCTTTCATCCTGATAAATCAATGAAGCATCTATCTTATGCCTAAACCTAACTTTGATCTTGACATCAGGCACTCTTCTAAATCCCTCACACTGTTAGCCCAGAAAGCATTCTCAGAGGACTCCTAACTCACATTACTAGGATTTGTCCCTGAAAAAAGCAACATTGTACAACCACTTTTTTTGAGCACATCTAGAGAGCATGATTATGAGATTCAGCTTCTATATAGTGCTACACAGAAGTCTTACCCAAGGGAATGAAAAACTCAAGTTTTATACCATTATCAGCTTGATATCCACCTCCATTTTATACAAACCAGGACAGCAGTTAAGCCAATCTTACTAGAAGTGTAGCTATTCTTACCAGAAGTTCAGAAGGAACTTCAGTAGAGAAAGAGTACCTAGAGAGGGTACTTGAGTATCCTATAGCTTTTGCGACAAATAGGATACTTAATTTTTATTGTTTTAACTTCCTTCACCTTTTTATTTTGAAATAAAAGACCTCTGTCATTCTTTGCAGAAAAGGACACAACTTTTACATCTTTAGAAAAGATGTGCATGAATCAGTAGATGAGGTTCTTAGTCTGAAACTAAGCCAGATGGAGAAGCAGATTTCCAACTAGTGATTACCAGATTCATGAAGACGACTCCTCAACTCCTCCTACAACTACTCTAAAGGATCTTAGAACTGAAAGTAAGGCCTTGATGAAATCTATTCCTCAGCTTCTTTGTGCCTTAGTTAATGAGTAAAAACATAACAGTGATTCCTCATTTATTTTACAGAAGCATTGCGAAGACAAATTCCATGAAAAAAATTTAAAAAAACTATTGCTCTGATGCTACACATTGAAGCCAACAAAAAATTTTTCATTTTAGTTAGTCCTGAGCAGTACTAGTAATGTGAGCCACAAAAACATCAAGAATTTCACATCTCAAAATTCTTGCAGGAAAAGAGCAAGGATTCAGTCTTCTTTTAAAAGACATAGAAAGGGTGCCACAGAAGAAAAAAACAAAAAGCAGCATTGTAGTTGCAAAGCAAAACTCTGAACCTTAGGAAACACCCGAACTAAGGCTGGGTGTGTAGTTATTAGTTATAGGGCATATGTCTTACCATACTGTCATTAAATACATGCTTATAGATAATATATACATGCCATATATATACACATGCCATATATTCTTACTTCTTTAAGCACATGATAGACTCATTCTGTAGTTGAATCGGGGGCATGTATCAGATCATCAGCATGACTCTATCATTCCTTTTTTTCTTTTTTTAAAATTAATTGAGAGATAAATAATTAGTAAGCCAGGATGACCACCACAAAGGGAGAAGGATCATCTTTTGGTGAATGTTCTTGAAAATCATCCCACCTCTTTCCAAGTGGCCACTACTTAGCATGATCTTCATTTTTTGGCTGCCCAATTTCAAAAGTTACAGGTATCATTTACAGAAGTGATATGAACTCATCTGAATATGAAGACAGAGAAAATTTATTCTGAATATATGAAGTTTAATTCCTACTACATACTCTGAAGAAAATATCTAAATTGCTAAGTTTGGTGTCCAAAACAGCAAGATGTTTTTAGCAACTCTGCCTTAGATTGCCAATGAAAAATTCAGAATATAATACCACTAGCGCTCACAGGAAAGTTAAAATGGTGAACTAGATGAAAGAACTGAAGTATCTGAAGCTCAAAATAGTAAAACAACACTCATACAATAAAGTTTGTAGAACTGAACATGTTTCATTAAAACAAGTTAAAATAGCAAGGGATTAAACGCAAAGCGAGATCTACGACTGTGAGGATTAAAAAAATACATCAGTTGACTACCTGCACATTTAGTGAACACTGCTCAATATGTACACTGAATGAAGCAGGGATGTGAAGGAAGGAAAACTCTAAATTATTGCAGAGAACTAGGGATTTATCTCAATGGAAATCGATCCATACAATGGGAAGAAATTAAATGAACAGGCTAGGAAGTAACTTTGTAAATGAAAGGGAGGAAAACAGCAAAGATAGAGTATGTTCCAACAGAGCACTAAGAATCAATGGAAAAAGCTATTAAAAAAAAAAAAGAAAAATATATTGCTCTGGCTTCATTAAGTTGGCACGAATGCTTCATTAAGTTGGCACGAATGATCTTTCCGAAACCCTAATCTAGGAAAGACAACTGGTAGGCTGACAGAAAGAAGGGAAAAATCCTGAAATATGCATTTCAGAAAAGATTCATAAAGGTAGCAAGAGGATAGTCAATTTTGTAAGGAAGATAATGGAACCATCATTCATTCACAAAAGCTTGTGGAGAAAGATTATATTATAGCTACAACCCACTTAAATATTCTACCATTTTCTTTTAACTATGGATCTAAGTGCTAAGTGTGCTGATGTAATATCTTAGATAAAGTTTTGTTTAATAATAAAGAAAATTATTGATTTTATTATCAGTGTCAAAAACAAACCAAACAAAAAAGATAAATCCCAACTTGACCTGTCGAGTCAACAATGTTAAAAACACAAAGGCAGCCACAAATTCCAGTGGAAGTGGCAGGATGAACTAAAAGAGGAGACACTCAGAAAAGCCACAGAAGTGAACTTAAAGGGCCTAAAACTCTGTTAAGAGTGAAAGTGATTTCACGATTAAAGTCACAGTGTCAAACTAATTCTATTATTTCCTAGTATTTGCGCACTTGACCTTAAAACCTTCTCATCAAATGTGCACGTGTTTTGGTATCAAGGGTATGTAACTCACAGTCTTACAAACATTTGGGAGTTTGAAATTCTGTTCATCTAAAATAAATTCATTTTTTCCCTAATGCATCTCACTTTTAACTACTTTTTGCTCATACTTATTATATTTTAGATTCGCTCCCTCCCCCAAATGGAGGGAGGATAATTTTAACAGAATAATTTTCTCATTTGGAAGAAAGTAAATTTTTACCTTCTCCATGATTCTGACATGAGGATTATAAATCTCTAGCTAAATATGTAGTCATATGAATATTAGTAAATATATAAATAATTTATGCAGCTGATATAATCTACATGAAACTTTAACCTAGACCTACTCATCAAACAAGAATCCCAACTAGGATTACTGCTCCCCTGAAGTCCTCATTTCATGTATTTCAAGGTTCCACACACAAACGAAACCAAGAGCTTTTGAAGTACTTTGAGTTAGAGAGCTCTATCTAGTCAAAGCAGGACGGAAAACTGAGTATAACTTCAATCCAAAGTCATTCTGGCCAAATGTTTTGCAGTGGGGGTGTACTATACAACGTGGCACAGCTGTTGTTCTTGCTATCAAGATCACTGAATAACCAAACTACGTACTGTTCTGGTCATCAAGACGACTGTATAACTAAGTGATACAGAACTAGAGAGATCTTCAGCTCTGGTCAGAAACAGCTGGAAGCCATTGTCAAGAAAGAATTGTTTGCTGGTCTTGTAATTGTGAAGTCTTGAGCCCTCTCATCCATAAACTACTACCGTATCAACTCTTCTGCTCCTTAGGCTCCTACCGGGAACTTGATTCAAAGTATTTATTATTGCTGCACTCCAACCTCAAAAGTACCCTTTATAACAGATATTCTAATGCTTGCTCTAAAAAAATTCCTTCACTGTTCATACAGAAATGTCCCCAACGTATCATAAATTTTGCATTAGAGTGAGAAGGGGAGGAAAGGGAAGGATATTTTTTTTTCCTTGGCCCTCTGTATCTTTTGATGCAAAGAAGCAGTCCTCTAGACAAGAAGGAAGCTTCTGCTTGAGACACTGCAGCACAGAGAGTAATCTGCCTGCACAGGCAATGCAGATTGTCCACTGCACAGGCAATGCAAACAAGCTCAGTTTGTCCACTCCTTGGAGCAGACCAAACAGATAACGAGATTCTTAGAAAACTGCTATAGAAAGAGCAAGAATCTGTCTGCTGCCCTTCTTACTCTAGGTATCTACTTCCTTATCAATTAAACCCAACCGTTGAACACTGCTAGGTATTAAGAGAGATGACTTATTAAAGCTGTTCACTTCTGTAGATTAACTAAAATCTTCCTCAGAAAAACTCTTCCACAAATTTTGGATGAAACTCGGATCAGGAAAGATACTGGAAAAAATAAGATACTTTGCTGTTGCCAGCATTAAAAATGTTTCATTCCGCCATCAACATACCAGTATCAAATGTAACAAATCAGCACCTCGTAGCAGAAAGAAGAGAGATTTTCTATTTTTAACTATGAACCTTGTATAAGTTCAAAATTTAATGTATATATACACATTAATTAAAATATAAAGAATACTTCAAACATATACTTCTATATACCCTATATTAAAATAAATAGAGTATTATCACACATGCATGTTATGCTACGCTTCTAAGTACAAGCATAATTTAATAAGATTCCTCTTGTGCATTCAAACCTCTCTTCTGGTTCCAGTCATGGGCATCACCAAGCTGAGCAGCATTATATGTATATCCATCTTGTTGACGAAAATAATCATCGGTGCTGAATACAATGCCATCACGACTTTGACCAAGCAGAACACTATTAAACAAAGGAAAAAGCAAAAATATTTTAACTTTTATTTTTCAGATAGAAAAAAACAAAACAAAATACATAAAAAAAAGAATATTGCTAAAATAAATTTAACTGTACCCTGTTTCTGAACTTCTTGCAAACTTCAAACAGGTTTATAAAAGTATACTCATATGCATTACCAATAATTCTAATCCAAATTAAAGCAATATATTTTCCCCCTTTCTGCCATTTCTGTATTTGTTGTTACTTCTCCTCCACCCTCTAAGAGATGTTTGTACCCATCTAATTTACGGTAGTATTGTAGTAAGTTCCAAGTGCCTCATAATAATTTAATGTATTTATTAACATTTTCCATGTTAGAAAATTGTTTCATCAATTGTCATCTGGAATTACCTCTAGAAACCAATCTGATCATGAGGAATCTGGATGCAGCTGAGAAATGAACTGGATGCTTAAATCCTTTTTCAGCACCTTACACACTCAACATGCCCTCTTCTGACCTTTGCCCATGCTGCTTTGCATCAGGAGAAAACAATCATGTCCTGAATCACTTAAAACACTTGATTAGAGTATTTTAGCTTGATTTCCTAAGGCAATAGCATTTCATGGTGACTTCTGGACATACAGACCAATTGCAACAAAGTCTGACAGAATATTCTCTCAAAGATACTACGAATTTTTATGGGAGGGAAAAACAAACAGACAAACTAAAGCCAAACAAATTTGTAAGCAAATGGATAAAATGCAGAGATTCAAATTAAAATCCATAAAGATAAAAAAGGGAAAAAATTGCAAAGCGAATTTCACATTTACTCAGTCTTTTAGGCCCACTATTTCCAAGTAACATAGATATTCTACTGGCTAGACGTTTTCTTCATTTCTAGGTCAGAATAAGTTGTGTTACATTCTGCTTCTTGCACAGCTAACATTAAAGATTATGGAATAAACTGAAGAGTACTTTAGCAAACAATAAAAGACAGTGTGGGGAAGCCAATGAGGGTAAAAAAGGGAAACTCAGAGGGACACAGTTGCAGTGTTCATCGCTAACATGTTTATTTTTACTCTGTGTTGTAATATTCTATATTATTGATAATACGTTCATTAATTACAGAAGTTACTGTAATGGATGATGTAAGAATACCACAAAAATCCATTAAGCTTTTCTAGAATGCTTTTCTACAGAACATGATTACAAAATCTCCTTGACTATTTCTGTTTTCTATAGTACATTTAAATTTGAAAACAGAAAACAGCCAGCTAGTGCCACAGAGCATTTATAGGCCATTGCAACTCCCAGATATCCCTGTCCTATGGAAATTCAGGCAAACATTCCGGCTCAGAAATAGGCAACGGAGTCAAAGGCTACAAAAACCAAACTGCATTAGCAGTATGTGGGATGCACTACTGCTGAAGTAGCAGGAACAGAAAAGAACTGGCCAAATCCCAAACAACATTGGGGAACAAACATATGCTAGTTCTAATTTAACAAACTTTCCTATATATATCTGCAGGAAGAACTACTTAAGTTTAATTCCTACACAAGGAATTTGCTATGTTTTGCCACCTGTCACCAACAACTGACCTGTTACGGATCCCAGTTTAAAGACTGGGACACTGTATTACATATTAACTTACATTCCTACACATTTATTGTCCCACAACGATGTTGTAGATTATTTTTGCTTTTAAAATACAGAGAAGCGTAACAAAAAATTCAGATTACTAAGGACCAGAAGGAACTACTACTGTTGCAACTGTCAAGTAACATGATAAAAGCTGCACACAAGTTATATTTTCCTTCTTGCTCTTTCTCCCTTTTCTAGAGTATTAAGGTTATCCCAGGATAAAGAGGAATGCTATTTCAAAAAGCAGAGCATGATAAACCAAAAGTACAGCCACTTTTTTTGGACATGGTTCAAATAATTATTTTTGTTAGAGTCTACGTCTTTTAATAGGATGTGTATTACACTGGTTTAGGAGAGCACAGAAAGAACAAAAACAGGCTTTGAATCCGAGTAGGTAAAATGGCACCAGTAAATCACACACCACACACGACAGCCTTTTTTCATCTCTATTCCTCTCTTGTATAAAATATTTAACAGGAACTTATATTCATTAAGTTACTTGGTCATGACTTCACATGTGGTCCAATTTGCATATTTACAGTGTGCAATATTTGCTAATTAATAATGCTAGCAACACTGGATCCATCCTCTACACTTGCTTCTTGTGTGCTGAATGTATATACACACACATCTCAAAAAAGTAAGGACCATTTGCCTTAATAAGAGGCAGCAAATAATAACTGGGATTCTTCTACTAGCTGAGTAGATAGGCACACCCCAACAGTTCCTAGAAACCTGGCCATCAGGTTTCTGCAGGAATATATATGAACTGATGAATCAATACTAATGGGACTAATGGGGCATTCATTTTTATCCTTATTTCTAGGAACTGACTCTGTTTGCTCAGTGTTCTGAAGAATAATTAACTTACTCAAACTCTTCTGTTTTATCTTCCAAATATCATTAGTTGTAGCAATAAAGAGCACAAAGACAAGGGTACGAAACTCACTGATAAATTAATCTTGAAATATTTTGTTATTATTCCTTGAACTTAAGAACACACTATATTTATGAACCTATTTAACCACTATAAGAGATTTAATACACTAAATTATGTTTGCAAGAATAATCCTAAAAGTACAGAATTTGGGAAGGCAAAGTGACTACAAAAGAGGCCAGCATAACAGAACTCTTATCCTATCTTATCCTATACACAACATACAAGCTATCACAAAGTAATGAGTTTATGAACTGAAACTTCAATTACTACAGCAATGATCATGGCCTGTTTCTAAATTGTGACATTAAATCATAAACCATAACATTTTGAAAGCCTGGCAATTACTTCTTTCAAAATTCATAGTATTTAAACTTGTAAAATTTAAAACAGAAATATCCTTATGCACGTCATATGGAGTAAGTCACCTACTTTTAACATGTATTTGGTAATAAAATTTATTCCAGGCTCATGAACTAGGAAACAGAAACAACAAAAAACACATCTATGCAAAGAAAGCATCATTACTATCTAAACTCACAAAGAGATGATATTCCACTTCTGAGAAATGGAGAAAGAAAAAGTCAGATAAATACATTTCTAAGAAGAGTCAAACTACAGATGAGTCAGCATCAATATGTGCACATGCCTGAAATGAGCAGCAGTTGTTATCCAACTGCCGTAATCCAGCTTTTTTACCCTAAACCTTCCCTGCAATTGAACACTCACCTTTGAGGATAGTAGGACAGTGAAATTATAGCAGATACAAAAATTAAAGCAGCTCACCTACTTTTTCCATACTTGACCTAATAGAATACATTAGCTTGATATACAAAAGTCCTCTTGAAACCAAAATGCTCATTTTAACTGGTCAGCAAACCAATACACACTTTTTCCAGTGCACAAACACAAATCCCACCTTAATTTTTCTTCAGAACTAAAATGGTCCCCCAACCTGCATCCTGGTTAGCCTACTTTGACAGACAATTTTATAATAAATATGATCTCTTAGAATCTAATAACTCATCCATTTAAAATATCTAACATATCACAGATGAGAAAAAAATAGACAATAACTAAATATAATTTTAAAATCTGTAGTATTACTAAGCTATGTAAATGCTACTTTAAAAGCACTGCTTGTAACACTTGCAAGGAAAAAAAAAACATAATTAGAAACAAGAGCGCACAACTGTTTCTACATTGAGCTATAAATACTAACTCTACCATTCGCAAGAAGGAGCTCTTGGGAAGAATAAACCCAGATAAAGACAACTGTCTTTATACATTCCTGACAATGGATTTAATTCAAAATCTACTTCTTAAATGACATCAATATTTGTTCTTTCAACCTCAATAAGCTCCTTTTTATTCAAATTCATGTTTAGATATTTATGGAGGAAGGGAAAATTGAATTGTGGCCAAGTTCAGTAGCAAAATACCCTAAAAATCCAAGTCTGTTTTCTTGTAACATTTTCCAGCATTATAAAATCACAGAATGGTTTGGGTTCGAAGAAATCTTAATAATCATCTAGTTCCAAACCCCCTGCCATAGGCAGGGACACCTTCCACTACACCAGGTTGCTCAAAGCCTCATCCAACCTGTCCTTAAACATTTCCAGGGATGGAGCACCCACAACTTCTCAGGGCAATCTGTTCCAGAGCTTCAACACCCTCTGACTGAAAAATTTCTTCCTTATATCTAATCTAAATCTCTCCTCTTTCAACTTAAAGCCATTTCCCCACGTCCTATCACTACACGCGCCCTTATGAAAAGTCTCTCTCCAGCTTTCTTTTAGGCCCCCCTTTAGGTACCAGAAGGCTGCTAGAAGGTCTCCCCAGAGCCTTCTCTTCTCCAGACTGAACAACCCCAACTCTCTCAGCCTGTCTTCACAGGAGAGGTGCTCCAGCTTTTGTACCATCTTCATGGTCCTCCTCTAGACCTACTCCAATAGGTCCATGACCTTCTTATTTTAAAGGCCCCAGAGCAGAACACAGTATTCCAGGTGGGGTCTCATGAGAGCAGAGGGGCAGAATCACCTCCCTCGACCTGCTGGCCATGCTTCTTCAGATGCAGCCCAGGATACAGTTGGCTTTCTGGGCTGCCAGCGCACATTGCCAGCTCATGTTGAGCTTCTTGTCAACCAGCGCTCCCAAGTCCTTTTCCTCAGGGCTGGTCTCAATCCATTCTCCACCCAGCCTGTACTTGTGCTTGGGATTGCCCTGACCCATGGGCAGGAGCTTGCACTTGGTCTTGTTGAACTTTGTGAGATTTGCATGGGCCCACCTCTCAAACCTGTCAAGGTCCCCCCTCTGGATGCCATCCCTTCCCTCCAGTGTGTCAAGGGCACCACACTGCTTGGTGTCATCAGCAAGCTTACTGAGGATGCACACGATCCCACTGTCCATGTTACGAACAAAGATAAACAGCACCAGCTCAAATATCAACCTCTGAGGAACACCACTCGGCACTGGCCTCCACTTGAACATTGAGCCGCTGACACATTATTATCTACTTCTAGTTGTAGCAGTCTGTTGTTACTTGGGCTAAAGATTTCATTGGCCAAATTGTTTTTGAAAATTTCTAACTACATGGTCAATCACTTCTGAAACCAAGGAAGAAATACAGCATTTTTACGATGTTTCGTTATTCCAAGCTTTTCTCTGAGAAGCTTTGGATTGAAGAAGTTAATCTGGCAAAGTACATATGTTTGTTTTTCCTGCAGAATTTTTTTGTAAATCTGCCCAAGCTGTAGGACTTGGAAACGTCATATGCACAGAAAACAAATAGTGAAAAGTACTCATTTTTATACAAAGTAGAGCAGAAAATGCAAACATTCTCACTGCAGTAAACCCTTTCCTAAACAGAGCATTCTTGCAGTGGCAGGAAACTGGTTCAGTACAAATACTGCATTGTAAGAACACATTTCTCCCAACACAATCTTAAGAATGGCAAGAGAAGGACCAAAATTAGCCTAAAATAGTAACAATATGGGAAGCATACTGGTACAAACACCGGAACAAGCAACTTGGTATTGGCGGCAGAGAAATAAGGACAAAGCAAAGCATGAAGTGCAAGGAAGGCACTGATACAATGAAGCTGGGAATGAGACAAGACCACTGGCTGAAACAGGGACAAGAGCAATTGGGGAGGAAAGCCGGGGGACAAGAAGGAACTGAGAAATCTGCTTAGAATTTAGGAGCAGATGTGGAGCTAGTAAGCACACATCAAATGCCATGGCTGGATAGGAACAGGAAAGCAAAACTGGAAATAGATGGATGAAGAGATAGAAACTTGAATGAGTCTCAGGAGGCTGGGATTGTCTAGGTCAGGTGAAGGCAGGAAATAAATCGAGGAGATGAGGGGAGATCCCAACTGACCAGGAAACCATTAATGTTATGCTCAAGTACAGACAAGGATCCAAGGAATTAAAGGCTGCTCAACCTCAACTAACCTCAGTTCCTGGAAAGACAAGGGAGTGCATCCTCTTGGAATCTATTTCCAAATATGTGAAGGAAATGAAGGGTAATCAGGAAGAGTCAAGGCAGGTTTTGCAACAGACAAATACTTCTTTACTGACCAGAATGCAGTCTCTGATGAAACAACTGCCTTTGTGGATGAGGTCAGAGTGAACAATGTAGCATACTTTGGAATTACCAAGGCTACTGACAATCTCCCAGTCAGTAATGAGCAGAGCACAGCAAGGCATGATGGTGGGACCAATTTTTTCAATATCTTCATTGTTAACCTGGATGATGAGGAAGAGAACTTGCAGATGACACCAAATTAGTAATGACGCCTGACATAACGAACAGTAGAGCTTCCATCCCAAAGGACACTGAGAAACCTGAGCACTGGGCTAAGCGAAACATCATGAAGCTCAACAAGGAAAAGAGCAAGGTTCTGCAACTAGTGAAAAACAAACCTAAGCATGAGTACAGGATGGAAAGCACCTGGTTGAGTAGCTCTGCTGAAAAGGATCTGAGGATTACAGTGAACATCAAACTGGAGATGAGCGAATGGCATGCTCTCATCAAAAGAAGAAGAAACCACATGCTGGGCTTTATTAGAGAATATGTGATCAGTAGATCAACGGAAGGTATCATCCACACTCTACCTGGCTTTTGTGCAGTCAGTTCTGAAACACTGTGTCCAGTTTAGGGTTTCCCAGTTCAAAAGACAAGCTGGGTTGAAAAAACCATGACTGGGTTGAAGAGATGGCTAAGGGCACACAACCTAGAAGGAGAGGTTAATAGCAGCTGGGCTTGTTTAGTCTGGCAATGAAGACAATAAAAGGCCATCTGATATCAGCCTATTACAGTTAATAAGCCTAACCCCTTACCTGAAGGGAATCTGCAAAGGTGATGAGCCAAATTCTACTAGCAAATTCTACAAATTCTAACAGCACATGGTATAACAGGAGAACATACGCAAATTATGGCTTGGGAATTTCAGTTTGGAGATTAGGAAGAACTTCTTTATTGGTAGGGTAGTACTGCACCAGAAAAGTCTGGCCAGACTGTGGAATCTCTGTACTTCTAGGTTTTTCCAAGACCAGGCTAGACAAAGACATAGCTGATCTGATCCAACAATGGTGACAGACCTGCTCCAAGCAGAATGATGGACTAGGTGATCTCCAGAAGCCTCTTCCAAAAAACATGCCTGTGATTCCGAGCAGTTGAGATGGAAGCGTCAAAACAAAACACAGAATTTGGTGGAAGATTCAAAATAGATATGGGTCAAGTTTGGGAGCAGGAGGAATACTGTCTTTACTTACAAAACCTCACTTTGCATAAAATGTAGAATTTAAGATTCCTGGGTCTCACTACTGCTCTGCTGTCCTTTTATACTTGGGAAACCCACTTGCAAAATGGGTTCATTCCCTTCTAGTGCTGATTCACACAGATGATGTCCATGTTCTGCTTTTCTTACACAGTCATTTTGCCAGCACACGGTAGAGGTTTATCTGCAGGTGCTGAAGATGCCAAGCCTGCAAAGATACCTGTGGGTACTAAGATGGCATCAGAAGACTGTATTTGCTGTCCTAGTCTACACTGCAGAAGTCTATGATGTTACACACACAAACATAGTCAACTTTATTAATAATAAGACTTAACTAATAGTACATATATTTTCCTCATAGGCAGACATTAATTCTGGGTTCCTCCACCACCAGGTACCTGAGACCTTGAGACATGATTTTATGGGAATTAACAATTGAAATCAAGCTTTGAACATATGAAACTGCATGTAATTGAATACACTGAAAAACAAGTCCCACACAGTTCAAATTCTGCACCCAAATGCGGTGGCTATTTTTGACCTTGATCTCATAGTGCCCACTTTCCCCATCTGTTAAATGAAATTAGTAATTGATCTCACTAGCAAGAGATGAAAAAAGAATATTTGTTCATAAAAACCTGAAGACATTTAGAATCTTTCAGATGATATGAATAACGTATTTGGAGAAAGATTCAAAGACAATTCGGTAAACAAAACACTCTATTCTATTAGATAACTTCACATTAACTAGTATCCAATTTCTGCACTGAATGAGGCAGCATTTTTTCCACAGGGTTCTTTTTAATCTTCTATCTTGTTTTCATATATGAAAGAAATTATTGAAATAATACCCACACACACTCATGCAGCTTCAGAAATGCAAGTTTGCAAAACAGAGCGCTCAGTAACTAGAAAACATTACAGTTAAAATCATACGAATATGTAAGCTAGAAATTTCTAATAGATATTGTTCTATGATAGAGAGATCATGATGTCCTAAATATCAGGGGGAAAAAAAAAAACCAAACAGCAAGGTTACTCCTTTGTACCTAAAACGAGGAAGAACATGATCATTGTATCTATTTCACAGACTACTTGCATACAACAGAAGATAACCACAGAAGTGATGTACAGTCTCCGAATGAAGCTAAACCAGCAAGCACTGATACAGTAACTTTTTTTTTTTTTGCATGCAAGAGAAACCTATTTTCACTGAATACAGATAGTGTCAGTGCTTTATGTCAACTTATGTTCTCTTGAAACTAGGCCAAAAAAAAACCAAACCAAAAGTGAAAATCCAACTTGGAGGTGGTACCTGCTTTTAACCCTGTCAGACTTCAACAAGTATATTTTTAAGGGAAAAATAGTAATAATTTTCTTGTGTGTTGTTCACAAATAAAAGGTAAGTTGATAGAACATAGTATGAAAAAAAAGAATGAGATTATGCTCAGTTTCATCAACACATTGAAAACAAATCAAGTATTTTCAGAACGACAAAAGTTTTCTAATGGTCTTTGAAGTTTTTGCATGGGCATAAAAAAAGTACTTCTGGTTCCGTCAAATTAATGCTGTTAGGTTTGACAGATGATTTTTCTTTAAATTAAGGAATTTAAGAATAAAAAAAAAGATGCTAACCATCACATACTAGTACAACTGGAAGTTTCAGAATAAAATATTATGTAATTTAATAGATACAGAGCATTTTAAATTTAATATTCCTGTTCACCAAAACTCTAAAGGAGACTAAAAATTCAAGCAAATATTTTAAATATTTACTGTTATTTGTCCTCACTAAGTAAAAATTGCTGCATTTTAATAGCCTAATTTACAAAAACCAAAGTTTGCCAATTGCCTACAGATTATTTTTTTTTAAATCCTTAAAAATTTTGGTTTGAATAAGTTTCTCGAGCTGTAAGTCTTTACTTACCGAGAAAGTGTTGTCTTCCCTGAACCAGGTAGGCCTCTTAAGATTAGGAGCAACTTCTGTGAACAACCGAATCCTTCTTCAGGTAACTGCAAGGACGAGAAGTTGTGCATTCCTTCTGTACTGTCAGCTTTTGGATCTTTCCAACACTCCTCTCTAGTTTCACAGAAACCATTATTTTGGAGTCCGTTCTGGTCATTATTTCCATTTCTGAAGACCTGAGTAGTACGGATATCAGTATGACCAGCATAGCTGGTACTCTGATCAAGCAATGGACCATGACTGTTGATATCAGTATTTCCATGGTAACCATGATGATTTTTGTAAGAAAGTTCACTGTTCTGAGAAAGGAGAGCATTTGGTTTTTGTGGTGGGGAATTAAGTATCTGAAAGTGCAACTGATGGTTGAATCTATGAGGAAGAGGTCCCTGAGGTACTAGGAAAGACTCTGTTGACTGCCAAGCAGGTCTGAATTCAGGCACTGAGCAGTTCCAATATTTAGAATCTACTTGTCCATTAAAGGTATTTTCATTTTTCCAACCACTTTTTTCCACGAGAAATTGCTGCTCATTGCTTTGTTCCCCAAAGAAACACTGTCCATTCTCATAAAATGGTTGCGGGCTGCCCAACAATAGGCGTTGATAATCCTCTTGTGAGGTTTGACTACAGTTGTATGGAGAGTACTGTTCCTGAGAAGTTCCAGTTTCTTTTTCCTGAAAATTAGCATCTAAATTTTCATTTTCCAGCTGGTGAATTTCTTTATAGAACTGGTCTAGTTCATCATCTATTTCTGGTACAGCAGAAGAAATAGTCTGCAACTGCTTTGCCTCCTTTATTTTAGCTTTGTTTTCATGCAATTCATTCTGATCTCCCTCACTGCTTCTACATTCATTGCAACTGCCAGATTTGTCCTGTTTGTTACTTTTGGCAGGCTTGTAAATCGGTCCAATAAATTCTTTGCTTGTAAAAAATTCTTCATTTGATGCATTTCTGTTTAGTGAAAATGACATACAACTATTTTTAATATCTTCACCAGCATTATTTGTAATGAAAGGGCCCTTCTTTTCTTCAATTTTAGTGTCATTTATTGATGCAAATGGAAGATTTATGTTCTGCACAGTTTCTGAATCAACTGGCTGACTAAGCACTACATTATTTTCAGGGAGTGCTTCATTCAGTGTGTCCAAGACACCAGTTGGTATCTTCTCTTGCTTCTGCATTTCATGTTGCCCTTGGTTATCTGAGGCATATGCTAGTATCAAATCATTTGATGTTCTCTCAGCATCCACTTCTTCCCAAATACCTTGGTTATCACCATCAGAGAGTTTCTCGTATGCCCCTTCTGTTGACTTCATTTTTTTAGAACATGGTTCAATTGTGATTTCATCCTCACACTCCAGGAGCCTTACTCTACTTTCAGCATGAAGCATCTTAGAAAAAAATTAATACAATATCAACATGTATATTTTTAAAGAAAAGTATAAAAAAGTAGAAGTTATTCAGGCCTATGACATACATCCTCAGACCCTTCATGGTCACAACTGAAATATACTCAACCAGAAGAAAAGCAGACATCACCTACTGGAAGTACTGTTTAAACAAAACTGCCAAATTATTGCATATCTTTAGCAAAGAACTACATTAGCACTGTACCAGTTTAGCAGACACATTTTATGATATACCTTAAATAATTCACAAGTCATGCTTTTTAAATGTGAATATTTGAATAATGAATTACATCAAGAACCTCTGTTCTCTACTGACCTATGTTAATCTGTCAAGTGTTATAAATCTTTTTTACAGCATAAACACGTGCCAATTTCCAATGCACAAACTGATGCCTGACACCACTATTAATATAACCAACAAAAATGCAAATACTTTGACCACAAGGATTATTTCCTGTGACACAAACTGAACTCAACTAATTCATTTAACAACAATCAAACAGATGCTGGACGGCAGTTATAACGTGGTACTAGTCAAATATGACTTAAAATTAAATCTGCAATCTATTATTCTGTTTCTGGTTTTGGGACAACTAAAGATCTTTGTTAGGGACCAAGACCACTTGGCTGCATGTTTTCTAAAAATAAACAAAAAAGCCATTCCCTGCCCCAAACAGACTGCATTCTAAGAATGAGCCAATAAACTCTAGAAAGATTCAGAGAGACTACAGCAATTAAAAACAAAGCAAGATGGCATTGACCACTGTGGCATGCAGTCATGCCATTATCCATCAAACTATTAGTTAGAATTACTTGGATTCCGGAGGTCTAGACAGAACGAAATAAAAAAAAAAGTCATTTTATTATAAATCAAGCGCTAAGTAGTTTATTCAGCAATGCTCGCCCTCAAGCAAATGCAGTACCAAACAAGTAAGTATTTTTCCTACTGGAAGGTTTATTCTACTGCTTTCTCTGAACGTTCCAACTTTCTAGGAGTAAATATTAATAAAGTGTCACATGCTCTTCATTCTGGACAAGAAAAAAAGGGTTTTTTCTTTAGCTAAAAAGGATCTGTAGGTAATATTACAGGAAGATTTGTAAGTAACATTTACCATCTCATGGCCACTTGCAAAACTGACAAGAAAAGGTGTTTCTCTGGGCACTTTCTCACCTACTGTCCAAATGAAGAGAACTCTGCCATCCTCAGTCTCGAAATGTCTAACCAAGGAGATTTTACTGTTTGCATCTGACTTCACTACTTGGCAGACAGCACTAATGTCAGAAGGGGAAAAACACAGCCATGTAACTATCCCTCTTCCTCAGAATTGGTGGGACAACATTGAGGGTACTATGCTCTCTCCTCCTCTCAAGATATACAGATTTTATGCATACCTCCAGCTTCTCAGTTTCTCCTTTTTGTAAATCAGAAAGCGAGTATGACATTATATGAAACACGGACTCTATCCTGCATCTATCAAAAAACGTTACTCTACCTCCAATCAAAGAAAAAAGACTGGGGGAAAAAAAATGCTTTATTAGCTTTATTAGCTTCTAAGTCCTCATCTGTCTTCTGGGATGGTGTTTATGCAGATGGTGTTCTGTTGACACAGAAAAAACACAGAGAGCATGTGAATACGTGCTGCACAACAGTATCCCTAATGATGGAGGATGTCACTCTGTGACTGTCCCACACAGGAATATCCTTTCTTGCTAATCTTCAACTGACTTCCTCAGACTATCTTTTGAGACAGTGAAGTTGCATGTGAAAGCATCTTCACCTGCATTCTCGGGGAGGACAGAGCAAGTACATAACTGAGAAGGTGCAATCTATGTGACAGTCTTGTCTCTTGAACGGGATAGGCAGAGGTCTGTCATATTCCTACAAAGAACCGGTTGTAGGCATTGAATCTGAGCCGGCATATGTGATTCACCAGGCTGGCATGTGCAACACTAAATCACCGCTTCAACTAACCTGCCAAACATCTAGAAGACTCAACCAAGTAACTCCAAGGCCTTAAGCTCTACCTGTACAGTAAACTTCCAAATGGAAAAAGCAGGCATATGTGGCAGAACTTACAGATGGGGGAACTGACTGGCTTTGCTTGCGTGACCACCTCCTTCTAGGTACGGAGG